CCTTTGGAATACTAGCCCAATGCTCTTCCAACTGAGCTACGCGGTCAGGACGGTTCGAGTAAGTGATATTTCGGAACAGAATCTAGTTCCTTCAATACCAATGTATTCTAGTAATATGAATTTTTTTTTCTGTGTTCATATTACTAGAATACATTGGTATTGAAGGAACTAGATTCTGTTCCGAAATATCACTTACTCGAACCGTCCTGACCGCGTAGCTCAGTTGGAAGAGCATTGGGCTAGTATTCCAAAGGTCGTAGGTTCGAATCCCACCATGGCCGGGCATATTTTTCAAGCTCGCCCGGTGTGGATATACACTCAGAGTAACACCACAAATATCATATTCACCTGAGTACACTACACCAACACAGAAAAAAAGGATTATAACATGTCGAAATTTGCAATTTGGTTAGAATTTAGTAGTAATACTTACATTATGTCTATGATTATGCAATGCTAACTACTTCCAGCGATTAATTTAATCCCAATTCTATTCTCTACTGTTCTAGTGATCTGAAATGAATACATAAAACTTACAGCTCTTTTATACAATAACACACAGACCCCACACATATGCATTTTAAGGAGGAGAGAACACTCCCTTTTGGCCTTGCTGCCAAAAGGGTGTGTTTCAGCATTATTTCATTACTTACGTTACTCATGATGTTTCTTGTGCAAACAACTAAATTGCATACACAACTTTACATCAGTTATCATAACTTCAACTATCTAATTTGCGCCGCTCTCGTGATTTGTGAAGCATAATAAAGGGCGTAATATAAGGGCATAATAATAGAAAAAAAGGGCATAATTCGATTTCTTGTGAGCTGTGAGGTAGCATATACGGTTAGACAAAATAGTCTGTAATTTAATATATGACTGTCGCCTATGCGCTTAGTCTGTTATAAGCCTATAAACACATCTTTTCTTGGCGGGAGTAACTATATTTTTTGAATGCGTTTTTTTCCCACCCACTTTCAAAATTCGGCACTGGATCAGCGCCCCCTTTCCATTGCCAGCTGGGGGGGGGGGACTGCCAGCACGCCAATGCAGTTACACATGCTTTGATTTTTGGAAAAAAGTGTTTCTAATCCATAAATTTAATTCAAGAAACTCCATGCTTACTGAATTAGGTGAGCCTTTTGATGAAATCAAGATAGAGTTTCAAAACTGAAAGCATTACAGTCCATTATTATTGAACAGCTCTCAAAGTCTGAAACTATCTGTGATATTAGGTGGAACATCTTATGAGCAAAATTGCACAAAAATGCCAGAAGAGACCATGACATTCTCTGACCACCAGAATAATTTCTAATTTCCGGCAACATTAATTTAATAAAACTATTTCCCTATTAAACTATGAATTTAAAATAGTGGTATTCCTGTTTTGATATCATATGTAATGTAAAAATCTACCCTTTGAGTTTAATGTAATTGGACCTTATTTAGTGTAATTTCATAAAAAGTAACAATTCAGTTTCTCACACACCGCTGAGGGATGCTGCACATGCAAGGCAGCCTGCAACCGCGGGTGTGGAGGCCCTTGCTTGCGAGGTTGGGCAGCCTGACCTTTAATCAACAAAAATATCTCATATTTACAATAAACTGATCTGTACAAACTGCAACTCACTATAAATTATCACGTGCTAGACTAAACCCAATTCTAGTTAGCACACTACTGCAACTGCATAATAACTTAGGCACTACCTGCCAATAGGGTGGGTGGGTGGGACACAGGTCAGGCTAGCACGAGGCAAGCAGAAAAGTGACCCTGATGACCTTGACCCCACCCTTGACCCAGTCCCCCAGCAGTGTATGAGAAAACATTTTCTGTCTCTTTCATTCCTCAGCCAGCAGAAAATAACACTTAAGCCAACAATATTAATCCACTTCACAACATTGATATTACTGTAACATGCACCTTAAAATTGTTAGTGTATATAAAATTCCTTCTATTGTTCTAAACTACAATAAAATTGAAAAATACTAACAAAGATTTATTGTTTTTTCTGAACAGTGCTACCAATTGAGCTGCGGTGGGGATTTGTTGTGAATATTATCTAGTTTAGTTGCAAGAAATATTCCCCAGTTTAATTACAAGAAATATTTCCATTGACTCAATTGCTCGTTTAGTACATTGAGGGCTTAGAATTACTTACTATTCATTGCTTTTCCTTCTTCAGGTAATAAAGAATTCCCAAGCAGACGCTGTAGAAGAGTTGAAAGGTATGGCAGATGATGTAAATGGTGTTACTTTAGCTTTAGAAAAGGATGAAGTATTAAGTTTGCAGGTTATCAGTGACTCTGAGATAACTACTATAGATAGTGTGAGTATACAAGAAGTGTCTGAAGAAGTAATTAGTGAAGACAATGTAAGTATACAAGGAAGAAAGAGAAAGCACTCCGACGAGATAGTGTTTGATTCAAACTGCGTTTCAAATGAGGTAAGCTCGTCTCAGAAAAGAGCACGTACGACTAGTTCTTGTGATAAAGCTGTGCGTGCAGATCATACGTACTGTATAAAATCTCCTCGTAGAATGAAAAGACGACTTGATGATGTTGTAGATAACGCTACAATTCTTAAGAAGAGATTGGAATCGTCACAAAAGAAACTAAGGAGGTACAGAGGAAAGGTTAGCACTTTGACCACGGTGGTAAGTGAATTGAAAGAGCAAAATCTTATCAATAATGATTGCGCTACTATTTTAGAAACGACTTTTTCTGGAGTTTCTAGGGAGCTCATGAAAAGGTTAGTTACGCAAAAGGTAAAGAAAAATCCTGGGGCGTATCCACCCGAGCTAAGATCATTCGCCATGACCCTAAAATTCTATTCAACGAAAGCGTATAACTATGTTCGAAAAAGTTTTGATTTAGGGCTTCCACATGTGTCTGTGATTCGATCATGGTATAGTTCTATGAATGGTGAGCCAGGTTTCACAAAGAACGCATTGGCAGCGTTGAAAGTTAAAGTTTTGGCTGCGAAAGAAAATCGTCAAGAAGTTGTTTGCGCACTGATGCTCGATGAGATGTCTATACGCAAGCATGTCGAGTGGGATGGTAAGCAGTTCCGTGGTTATGTTGACCTTGGTACAGGCATCAATGACGACTCATTGCCTGAAGCAACAGATGCTCTTGTTTTCATGGCAGTGTCAGTGAACTCTGGTTGGAAAGTACCGTGTGGATATTTTCTAGTAAATGGTCTTACTGGAGAGCAGAAAGCAAACTTGACCAAAGAATGCATAACCAAGTTGCACGAAGTTGGGGTGAAGGTGGTATCTCTTACATGCGACGGCCCCACGTCTCACCAGGCAATGTTGAAATTGCTCGGCGCTCAACTGTCACCGGATGGTTTGCAAGCCTTCTTTCAACATCCATGTGACCCCAAGGCTAAGATCTATATCCTCCTAGATGCTTGTCATATGATAAAGTTGGTGAGAAATACGATGTCGGACTGGGGAATTCTGAAGGATAAGGACGGTAAGGTAATTCGTTGGCAATTCTTGGTGCAATTGCAGGAATTACAAGAGTCAGAAGGTTTACATCTTGCAAATAAGCTTCGATCGGCTCATATCAAATGGAAGCCACAAAAAATGAAGGTAAACCTGGCAGCGCAGGCGCTCAGTTCGAGTGTTGCAGATGCTTTAGAGTATTGTGAAGGTAAGCTGAAACTGCCACAATTTCAAGGGTGTGGTCCAACAGTAAAGTTTATCCGTGTTTTTGACCGTCTTTTTGATGTTTTGAATTCCAGGAATCCGCTGGCTAGAAATTTTAAAGCGCCCATCAGAAAATCAAACTACCAGTATACGAAGAGCTTTTTAGATGAGGCAACTGAGTACATTAGAAACCTGAAAACTTCAGACGGTCAGTCGATCCTCACGTCAAAAAGGAAAACAGGATTTCTTGGTTTCCTATTGTGCATCAATGCTGTTGTGGGATTAACAGAAGATCTCGTTAATGCTGAGAATCCTGTCCTGAAGTATCTTCTGACGTACAAGATGAGCCAAGATCACTTGGAATTATTCTTTTCCGCTGTGCGAGCTTGCGGAGGGTGGAATAATAATCCAACAACTCGCCAATTTATAGCAGCGTACAAGCAACTGATGATGAGACACAACATCGAGGGAGGACGTGGAAACTGCACTCCTCAAGATGATACTGAGATATTGAACAGTGTCCAGGATCAGCATGAAATCAACTCCTTACCTACTGGAATTTCTGATGTGGCAATTGCAAGGAGATATGACTTGACGTTGAGACCGCCAGCTGCAGATGATCACGACTACTGCGATGTTTCGAACGCTATGGAACTATCTGAATACAAAGAAGCGGCCATATCATATATCGCTGGGTATGTGGTGAGAATGGTCGAGAAAAAAATTCACTGTCCGCAATGTATAGCAGCTTTGACAACAAACAAGGAAAACATTCCAGACTTGTTTGTAACATGGAAGACGAATGGAGGTCTTCGATTGCCATCCCTCGGACTGATCAAAATATGCGAGGAAACGGAAAAGTGTATAATGAGAATGCTAAATGTAAATGGAGGTGGTCTACCACATAGCACTGGACTTTCAAATGCGATCGCTTCGACGGTGCTGTCAGTTTGTGTTGAAAGACGAGTCTTTAGTACGTTAGATGAACACATGTTTGATTCGGCTCCAGGGAACAACCACACGCTAAGTTTGATTAAATGCTGTTCTCAAAGTTATGTGACCATTCGCATGCACCATTTAAGCAAGTTGAGAAATGCGAGAATGCATGACAAGGTAATACGTAAACAGTTTTCGAAGCTTGTGTTGTTCAAGCATCAGTAATGTATTGTCAATGAACCTGCACATTTCACATGTGTTCGAGGATTGACGGAATGAAGACGTGCATTTAGTGCATATTTGTATATATTGTCAATGAACCCGCACATTTCATGTGTTCGAGGATTGACGGAATGAAGAAATGCATTTAGTGCATATTGTCAATGAACCTGCACATTTTATGTGTTCGAGGATTGACGGAATGAGGAAATGTATTAAGTGCATGTTTGTATATTGTCAATGAACCTGCACATTTCACATGTGTTCGAGGATTGCCAAATTATAATTTGTAATTGAATACTTTTGTTTCTAAGTTATTGATGCCCGGTGGTTATCAAATAGGTAAGCAATTCGTTCCAATTTTTTTTTCTTTCCATGCAACATTCAGTTTTTTGTCATTATATTTTCCCTAAATATTCTTTTTCTACTTTTAGGTACACTTCAATCGAATGAAACCGCTTTA